ACATTTGTGAGTATGAAAAAAATTCCAAATCCTTTGGGAAAAAGTCTGTTTTTGAAGAGATGCGCCGTATTGTCACTTTAAGTCTCCTCCAAAGAAAAGCAAATAATTGTATCATTTCTCCTTAAAGAGTTATCGATTAAAGATTTTGGCCCCTCTTGGTCCCTAATTTGAGTGTCCAGCCCGTTATTCTTGATTTGACCTTAAACCTCTTATGATTTTGATCACGGTTTGCTCAACAACTATTCAGAGATTCTTTTTCGTTTACGAAATAATTGCGAAAGAAATATTTAGGGAGCAACCCTTGAATTCCTTAATGGGAATGTTAAGCAAAAATTGAAAGATTGCATATTGTGCAGAACCTTATTTAAACATCTTTTGTTCAATATTATATCAAATTATTTCCCACTTTTGAGACATAAAGCGTTAATGTTTTAGCATTCTGGTTCCTTGTGGCCCCTATTTATGTAACATATGACATACAAATCATAATACATGTATATAGTTGTAGATTGTTAAGATAAACATTTTTGCTTTAGTAATGTATACAACAATATTGATTGTTAAAGAGTTATTGCATAAGACTTTTGGCCCCTCTTGGCCATTAATCTGTTGAGTCAGCACTTTCTGCTTCATATCATATTAAAACTCTGTTAATTCTGCACAATATTGTTGAGTATGTCCTGACAAAATAATTCTACTTTGAAATATTTGATGCAAAACGACTTAAAGAATCACTACTGACTAACGTCCTAAATTTCGAATCCTACCAAGCTTCCATAAAAGGCACTTCCGGAAAATACCAGTATCTAAATCCAGGTGCAAAATGAGAACTTAAAATATATAAATTAAAATCACAAAAATGAGAGGTTTTTTTTCCAATAAGCACCGCCAACTTCTCAATGTTTTTCTTTCTCTTGAACCACCCTTAATTTTTTTTTATGAACGAATGGCTTCATGAAGAAATTAAAAAGAAAAGAAATATAAATATTCATACTAATTTCTTCTATACTAATTTCTGAAAGATCATTGGTATAAAAGCAACGCCACAGTTTGAAATTATATTACATTTTATAAAAGCATTATTATAATTTAGTCAAAAGAAAACAAACTAAGAAATTATTAATTCAGTTCATAGACTGATGAAAGGATATATTTACATTCAGTGAAATGTTCTTTATGACATCCATTTGGGAATTTACAACATTCTATACCCTATGAAAACACGAGGCCTTGGCACAGCGTGGTAGAATTCAATACTTTAGAGGCATCAAAATGTGTATTGCTTTAGTTCAATTTGTTAAAAAAAATTGCCCTATTAAATCATTGTAAAGTTCACAACTGAACTATTGCATGTCAGACATAGCAATATTCGATCTTAAATTTACATTAATTTTCTTATTTGTATTGTACATGACATTGTATAATATTCCATAATTTTTTACTGTATTCATCTGTAATTATATTTGATGGATTACTCATTTTTTTTTGTTACGAAGGATTTGATTTGTCGACTCAGGTTTATTGTCTTTTTTAAATATTGTGTTCAAACAAGCACGATATGGTTCAACTCGGATGAACTTGGCTCCTTCTATACGTATTTGAGCGGAGGCTAAGGTATTTCGGGAGGGAGGAACGGGGGGGGGGGTAAATCTGCCCAAACCAGAAAACGAGCACTAATTTCCCTGACAGTGTACACTGTTTTTACATTTAATAGTTTCATTCATAAATAAATTTCAATGATTTGTGAATATATATTTTATTTACTACTCCACTATTTGATTTTTATTTTTCTTAATTAGAGACTTGATTATGGGCTTCAGCGATTTATGTTCGTTATTTTACCTTTTCTACTGTAGAGCATTTCGTTTTTGTTAGTTGTAAGCCTACTCCTTTTTGTCTACCCGAAAACATACATTTGTAAAAAAAAATGCTTTTTGATCCAAAAATAAATAACAAAAGAAAAAATTTAATGACTATTTAGGCGACTTTTTGTATGTCTGTAACTGATGAATATTTATATTTTTTTAATCTTTAACTTATTTGTCAAACGATTGTCTTAAAAATGCTGGTACGTATCGAATTACTAGAAAACAGACAATTTATATGCAGATGAAAAGGGCGTTATGCTACTAATGGGAAACATATGATTTATGTCATCAGGTCCACACAAAAGTTTCTTGTATGGTTACAAAAAGCTATTTTTCTGAATAATATCCAGATAAATCAGAGCTGACATAATTTGTGGTTTCTTGCATTTCAAGTTTAAAGGGATATATCAAATATACCGTATATATATGAACAAACATAAAATATCATAGTAAAAGACCTCTCATCAGAGGTTTTCTTTAAATAAATTCTGCATCAGTTGAATAAAAAACTTTGGAAAACTTATGTGTACAATCATAATGTATTATTTCTGGATAGTTTTATGAATGACCATTATTACTAAAGAATATTTACAAATTGTTGTTACTTTAAAACAGCTTTCTTTAATGTAAAAAAGAACTCTGGACTAAATTCATCGTGAGAAATTATTGCGTTTAAAGTGCTGAAAAGTACTTGTGTTGAATAGTTTGCCTTTGCTGTTATTGGTTTTTTGTAATACATGTTATATTATATTTTGTTATTTCCAATTTTCATTTTTTTCTGTAATCAATATTAATAAACATCTCTTCTCAAAACTAATCTGTCGGTTCCCTTAAGGGTTTCTTCTTCACTGGTAACATTCTAATATTGACATATTTTTTTTTTTAGAAAATTACCCGGGGTATAAGTCGGTACGTTATGTAGCATTTAGTAAATAAAAAAAGAATGTTTGTCATCTCCCTATATTTCATGTTAATATTTCAGTTCTTATACAGAAATCCTTTAAAAGTTTGCAATCATTTCCGTTCGAGACAAGGTTAGAATTTCTGCAGAAATACAATTATTTGATATTTTGAATATTTATGTACAATAAAATGTGACCAGTTTTAAAAACGAAAGTGAAGTCGACTGTACATTTATCGAGGTTTCAATCCGATCACTCAATCACTTCATCTTTACAATAAGCGGAATTCTTCTGATGCAGTATCGGTACATTTATATTTGAAATGCTCTGATGTAGACGCTTTGCAAATCTTTCATTTCGAAATCTTTTGATATTTTCTTTTTGATGCAAGCAACAAATATCACTTGGAATAGAAAATCACTTATAACAATGGCATCAGAGATAACTTTTTTCATGAGTTTTATTTACAAATACGATGGGTGATCAAAAAGTTCGCGAACTATCTCTATATTTACAAAACAACAATACTGATCAGAATGAAATTTGGCACACATAAAGTCATACACATGTTCTATAAATAGCATATGTAATGGAACGATTTTCCTCGTGTTTGTGACGTTACAACGTGAAAATGACGTCATAAGGTAGATCACTGTGACAAAAAATTGTTGACTCAGTCGTATTCGAGAAACTAATGGCTCTAAAGTTAAACGTTTATCTTGGAAATTCCTTTGTAGAAGTTTATAAATATTTGTATATGGGTTATGAAGACAAAAGATTTGCCAGAAGTTTTGTCAATAATTTGACTGAGTGTTTAAGTGAAGGAAGGGAGGTGCTTAAAAATGATGTTTGTTCTGTTGCCCAGTGTGTCTTTTAAATAAGTAATTTGATATGAAAGATCGCCAACTTACAGTTAGAAAAATAGATGAATATCTTTACAATGATATAATTATCAAATGCCTAAAATATTGTTTACTTTAGACTTTAAACATATCAGATATTATAAAGTGAAGGCACCCATACTTCATCCACGTAAAATAAACGATGCTAAAAAGACAGAGGACTTGGGTTTTGATGGTCACCATGCTCATTCTGCAAAAGGATATCATTATCCACCCATACTATTGCCGAGATAAGGCCATTTCTGACAAATGGATTGTTTTTGTTGGAAAAAATAACCTGCATGGTAAGAAATACATGTCACGTGACCGCCTATATCACGTGATACGTCATGGGCAGAATGATTGCAGATGCGCATTAAAATCGGTGAGGACTGCTTTGAAACATTTTCAACACTGAAACCCTATATCATTCCTATTTTGGAAGTTATTCAATTAATTCGCGAACTTTTTGATCACCCCTCGTATACTGTCAACTAAACTCTGTAAAAAGAATACGTACTTTAGTTAGACGGTTTTTTTTTAAAGAGAGGTGTATATTCTTTCATGTTAAAATTAAAATAAATTGATTAAAGGGTTGATTCACAGTGGAGTTTTTAAAACTTTTTTGATTTTTGATTTTTTTTTTTTTTTTTTTTTTTTGATTTTTATTATTCATATTTCAGACAAATATTCGAATAGAATGACAACATTTACACAATCGGCCCGCTGTAACGCTATTTTGTGACACATTGTCTAAGAAGTTCTTTCAAATTGATTTTTAAAAATATTTTGCTAAACTCAAACATTTGAATATTTTCATTCTGCATTCTAGTTCAGGTAATATTTTTGCATAATGATATAAGATTGATTATTACTGAATTTTTTTTTTACTTTTTTATGAGATTTTTTTTTAAACGTCGTTGTATATTCTTTTAGTTTACGTACCCACAAATGAATTCGGGATTAAATCAAAGGATGGGCATCTTTTGAATGAAAAAAAAACATGCATGTGGATCAATGTTTTATTTGTTTTTCATCGCTATCAATTTAAAAAAAAAAATCCGCAATAAGTCTTACTACATGTAAGACGGAAATATGGAGAAAAGATCATCCTGCCGTGTGATTTTACTATGACCTCTGATCCCTTAATTAATTCATACCTAAATGTATACAGATTTCACTTGTAAGTATTCATAAAATTTTGATTATTTGATTAATGCATATGATATATAATATATTCAGCAAACAGCACAAGAGGAAAAATCTTTGGAATACCAAAATCAAACAGAAGTGGTATTTGATGGTTCGTCTTCTTACTCAGAAGAGGAAACTGATGACTTTCTCGAGGATGAAGAGATGTTTTCGACTATAGAAGATGACGAGTGCTCTGATGTCTTCAGAATTCCAAGGCTTTCTCAAGGCTTACATGAAGCTATAACAAATATAAGCAAAATTGAAGACGTACGTAGATTTTTTTTAAAACATGAAGAAAGCAATAGGATGGAAATCAATCAGATTCCATAAAATGACCTAAAACTTGTCAAAATCTTCATGTAAATTGCATTAATTTTCTTATTTTTCTCCATAAGAACATTTTTTAAAATAAGATTTTAGAAAAATGGATATGCAATGGGAAATTCTTACCAGTTTTTCATTTGAATAATAAATCAATTGGTATTCAGGTTGACAATGTTATTGACGGTATTATGAAATCTATTCATATGGATGGAGCACACGTAGAGGAACTTCACCGTGTTGATCAGGGCCGGTGTAACGACGAAAAGTGACCCCCGTAGAATATTATGGGGTCATTTTTCTACGTAGAAATTTGACCCCCTGGTCAATATTCTATGTAGAAAAATGACCCACTTTTCTGTAGAAATTATGGCCTTGGGGTCGTTTTTCTCCGTGTGCATTGTAGAAAAATGACCCCGTAGAATAATGACCCCTTGTCATTTTTTGATGCAAAAACTTTTGTTTTGAGAGGAATATTCTTGTTAGCGAAAGTATACGTGTAATATAAAGCAGCCTTATGCTTTGAAGTGTTAATTTCTGGAAGCTTTTAAGCTTACATAACGAAATAAAAGCTATACAATACCTTACATGAATGATACAGACCGCTTTATCTCCATTGAAGGAAAACAATATATACATGTATTAAAATGTTCTAAGACTATTTAGGCAAAGACATATGCGCATTCATACAATCATTTATTACATTTGATACAGTAAGTTTCCACAGTTGTCATTTTAATCTTTAAAGTGTCATTTTCTAGCTGGTGTCAGAAATTGTTTTTAAAAGTTTCCAGAGTTGATTAGTATGAATCTCTTTGATTTTACCCTGTATAAATAATTTGCAAAACTCAATTTTTCAAACGTTTAACGTTATTGGTTCCTACTTTTCAAATTGGCGCGAAAAAGGGCGTTAGCTCAGAAAAATAGATCTTATAAAAATATTTGGTTTTCTATGAATGGAGTTTTAAACTTCTCATCATAAAAGGGATGATCGATAATAATAAGTAAAAATTTAAATTGCCTCTGAACTATGATACATAGGAAACAAAAAATGGTTAGCTTAAAACCTGAAAAATTCAAAAAGAAGTGCTCGTCTTTCCAAAATTGGCACATGTAGTATCGTTTTCCCCGTTCTGCATGTACATGACTTACATTTGTAAATGTGATGATTTTAGGATTTTTTTTTCAAGTAGAACATATGTAGAAAAAAAGCAAAACAAATGTTGGATTATGAAAAAGTAGTTACTTTACTTATTATACTTATGCCCCGGTGAACAAAGTTTAGGGAAGGGGGGTTTATAGTTTTTAGACTGTCCGTCCGTCTGTCTGTTTGTTTATTTGTCTGCAGAAACTTGTACCTTGCCCATAACTTTAGACCGGGTGGGACTATGGCTCTCATATTTCAGTTGTATTTTTGTGGCAAGACCTTTTTTGTGTACAACCAGTTTTGATCTTTTGACCTTGACCTTGGAGTTTGACACACTTTTACACAAAAATTTCAAACTTTTACTTTGGCATTAACTTTTGGACGGTATTTGCTATATACTTTACATATATATAGTAATGGCATGATATATATATAGTTCATTTGTATTTATATATATATATTGTCAGTTATCTATATATAAGGAAAGTTTTTTGTTTTTTTTTTTAATTTATAGATATCTCTAAAGGTTGAACGAATATTCACTCAGATGTAAGTTTTTGACAGTGTTACAGTTTTTTTAATATCATTATAAGAACGTTCTCGATGTGCATGCATGGTATTTGCCGTATATACAAGTAAATGTATAGTACCCTACATAAGAAAGTTAAAAAGTATGTATTTTAAAGCAGAATGCATACAAATATATATATATATGTGAAATTAAAGGCAAGAACTAAGGAAATTAAATTCATATAATTAAATTGCGTTGTTTTTCTTGCTTCTATGCTTTGTTTTGGGATTTGTAAAAATTTTCAAAGTTTATGGTTGTCAGAAACATATCATGCCATTTTCGGAACAGAACCTTTGAATGATAAAAAAAACACCCCAAAATATAATAATATTTAATTATGCTCCTCAATGAAGAAGGATATGGAGATCACGAACTGTATTCAATATCAAAGTCCATAAAATCATCAGGAAATAATGTGAAAATCCGTCTTCAATTCAGTTTATAAATAATGGACTTACATTTGTATGAAAAACGTCAGTCAACATTTGACTCAATGATAAGTTGTATTTGCTGTCAAGGTTATTGTATCGACAATAGAACTTACGAAATGATGACTTTAAACGAGACTTCTGATATTCTTGTTTCATCAACTTGCTTGTCAATCATTTACCTCGTTTAAGAAATTGTTCATACGTAGAGCATGCTCTTGCGTATCGAATCAACTGAGATATATAAGCTCCGTATGCAGGTGATGAATGTATATTGGTGCATAAGTAAGGGAGGTTGACGATAGAAAAGTTAAAGTCATCACGTTTATCATATAGCTTAGTTGTTAGATTACCATTAACGTCCTTGTCAAGTAAAATATCCAAGAATGGAACAGATATGTCAGACTCTGTGGTATCTTTTATCTCAAGTTCACCAGGATATATCGTATCGACGTAGGAATGGAAATTACGATTGCTAATTGACGATACGTCGTCGATATACTAGTATCTAAATGTCGATTTGAAGGCCACAGCAAGTGTTTTCTTTTCACGCATAAGATATTGCACAAATTCTGCTTCATAAGAATACAAATATAGGTCTGCTAATAATGGAGCGCAATTGGTACCCATTAGATTTCCGATAGATTGTTGGAAGACCTGGTCTCCAAAAACCCACATAGATATTGTTAATCAGAAATTCAAACATCTTCTTGATGTCAACTTCAGAGTACTTGAGTGTGCAATCAGATGTTTAACAAAATAAATTTGAATATGACCTATGACCAGGTAAGTAAATTTACGAGTTCCATTTTTTTTTGAAAAGGCACCTGTGAATGATATAATAAAAGCCTGCAATTTAATTTTGATTTTGGACAAAAATTTTGATTTTGGACAAAAATCTTGTGATTTCAAATTGTCCAAAAGTTCTTTGGAATTTTTGAGCATTCACATCTGATTTACACCACTTCTTGAAAATATTGTTGCACAGTACTCTTGAAGTTTTTCATTGGAATTCTGCAAGCCAAAATAATCCATACCAGAATCATTGATTGTGATGCTACTATTAAGATGCAATCAAATATAAGTTGGAAAGGATTAAAGTTCATAAAAAGTCCCCCTACTTACATTTGAAAGTATGAAAAAATATCAGGAGACTCGGATATAAGGTTTTATATTAAAAAAATGTAGGGGGTCAAATTTCTATGGGGGTCATTTTTCAACGTGTGCTGAGTCGTAGAATTACTGGTCTGGAATGTTTTTCTACAGTCGAAAAATGACCCTACTTGTCGTAGAATATTGACCCGGAGTCATTTTTCTACGTAGAAAAATGACCCCCTGGTCAATATTCTATGGGGGTCACTTTTCGTCGTTACACCGGGTCTGCTGCACACCATTCAACCCCCCGATGACCTCAGATTTAATGGACGCTTTTTTTTGGATCACAAACATTCCCAAGTGATTTAACTTCTACTCACTACTACTCTACAAATGAATTTTTAAAATACCGTAATATCGAAGGTGCGGTATACGGCTTTATTATATTTTCAACAAAGAAATACTGTAATTTATCCATTGAATAAAAGTGATATACTGTAATAGACTGAAAGGATATAAAAATGATATTTTGTCACAATGTGCAAATATCAAAAGTGAGGTTAAACTCTCGATTTACCTTCCCATAACGTAGAGTGTTGTAAAAATATTCTTTCCACTGTTATAATATATAGAGAGAGTAAATAAACCAAACTGACAGAGAATAATACTGCCAAAGTTTTCACAAATATGTTGCTGTAATTCATGTTTACAATGTTTTAAATCTCGTATCACTTAGCTATGACGTCTCAACCGCTCAGCTATGACGTCTATGACTGCATTACAAAAAAACAAAAAGGGGGCCTAGGCAAAGGGAAAATCAAAGAAAATGTAATATACAGAAAATTCAACGTTTGTAGTTGAATATGAAATTTATTTCACGAGAGGGAAAGGATTTTTTGATATTTTCACTCGTAATTTGCACTCGTGAAAATATCAAAAAACCATGTTCCTCTCGTGAGATAAATTCCATATTCAACTACAAAACATTGAAAATCCTCCATCTTTTCAACTGCTATTTATTGTTTAATTTTAGATTTTATATGAAAAGAAAAATATTCCATAAGGTCTTTCCTTTACAAGTCACACCCAATTAAGAAGTAATGTATAATAAATACTCGAAGAAAAAAAATCTACTTGAATTAAAGGAGATATTTACAAACTTATATTTAGACATTTAAACCAATTGCAGACTAAATAACGTAGGTATAAGAATAGGAAAAGATTACATTATAGAAAGAAATCATACAGAAAGCATTTTCTGGTCATTTAAAGTACGTTTATGTGATTTCTAATAAGAAAATCATTTGGATATTCATAGTAAAAAACAAGAATTTGCAGCCAAGGTTTTCACTTCTTTCATGGATAGTAAATGTGGTCCCCGCGAAACCAATATCGCTCCAACCACTTGCACATTTGTGGAATATCAACTACTAATGTGCATATATACCTAGAAAACAAAGTGTTCTCATTTGAATTCACTCAATTACAAAACATAATACAGTAAAAATCGTTTAGTACGAACACGGATAATATGATTACACTGATATAGCAAAGTTATCTTGGATCCCCAGCTTTACTAATTTAACGAAGCCCTTATACGAATATAATGAATTAATATAGCGAAGTTATTTCATAGGTCCAAGTGACTTCGCTATAACCGAAAATTACAAATCCATGGCCATTGAGATTAATGTCACATTTAAATTCATTTTGGACCAACACAGAAATTAAACAAATTAATAGATAATACAAAGATTTCTTTGATTCCTGGCATATGATTCAACAATGTATAACTTGGCAAATGCATCTACACAGACATACATATATTATTAATGGTACTGTATTATTATATGACAATTTTGTAGTGTTCACCGTATCGACAATGCATGTAATTTTTATGCTTCAATGTCCTATATCTGATTTTTAAGGTAAAATATATCAAACCATATTATTTCATTTTTCTTAGAATTTACTAACTTACTCAGCCCCGTCGCTAATTATGATGTTGAAGGTGGAATAGGGAAATTCATTCCTCATGCAAAGAGATGAAGAAATAATGACTGATTTAATGTATATTTTTGAAACATATTCTGGAAGATGAAGGATATGGAGATAACGAACATTATTCAATATCAAAGTCCATATAACAATACAAAGTAGGAGCAGAGCAAACACGGACCTCCAAAACATCAGAGGTGGGATCAGGTGCCATGGATGAGTGACCATTCCCTGCCGACTGGTCACTCCCGCTGTGTGATCCTTGTCATGATGGGGAAATAACGCGAAAATCCGTCGTCAATTCAATGTGTAAATATTGGCCAAACAATAAGTATGAAAAACACCAGTCACCATTTCACTTAATGGTAAATTGTTCTCTTTCTGACAAGGTCATTGTATCGAATCAACTGAGAAATATATACTCCGTATGCAAGTGATGATGGTTTACTGATGCATAAGTAAGGGAAGTTGATGATAGAAAAGTTAAAGTCATCACATATACATGTATCATAGAGCTTGGTTGTTAGATTACAATTAGAGTCTTTTTCAAGTTAAATATCGTAAGATGTGTCAGACTGTGTAGTACTTTTTTTTCGTCTTAAGCTCACCAGGATATATCGTATCGACATAAGATTGAAAATCTCCATTGTAAATTGACAATACGCGTCGCCGATATACATGTATCTAAATATCGAGTTGAAGGCCACAGCAATATTTTGTGTAGGTTTTTTAATTGATGATGAATAATTATGTTACAGGACAAAGGCATTCTTACAAGTTGTTGCAATCCTAATGAGAAAAACCCCTCGACATCCAGTATCCAATCAAGAAATTCTGCAAAACAGCTGGAAGAGAGGTTATTAAGAGAAGAGAGAGTTCAAAAGGAAAAACACAATATAAGTACTGGTTGTCTGTCTCTATTACAATGTATTTATATTAACTCTTAGTAAAAAAAATTATTAATTTACTCAGTATTTTTCCAAGTTAGAAATGTTTAAAGTTTTATTATACATGTTTTAACCTTGCTGTTTTAAGAAAAGGGTAAGGTGTAAATAAATAATATTAATTCTTGTTTTTTTAGTTGAACGTAGAAGAAGATTCAATATTAATGATAGAATAAAGGAACTGGCATCACTTTTGCCCAAACCAGCACACGGGTAAGTGTTTTCACTGCACATAGATTTACAGTACCAGAAAAATAACTAAAACTTGGAGAGCATATATTATTTGCATATAAGATACTACACTGCTAGAATAAGATATAGTAGTTGGCTCTAATTTAGTTGTTTTTGATGGATGTATTCTGATGCAGAAATGCAAGATTTTTTATTGTACTGGAAGACCTGGATCAAGTTTCGGAGTCATCTACAGCCATTTTGGGAACTTCATTATGGCCAAATACTGTTTACTGTTTTAGAGATATATCGTTAAGTTAAAACAAAAGATCTCTTTTACATAGAAAATAAAAAAATATATAGTTATTACGAGTATTATGTGAGTATCTTTATAGATATCTAAAATTCCGGTGTTCTGTTTGAAACAAGTGAAAATGCAAGGCTGGAATTGAATGGACACTTTTAAATAAGTAAATGACGAAACTTATATATGTCAGCACATAATAATCATGGACAATTGAAAACAAACACAATTAACATAGTATGTAATAGAAACAAAACAAACAGCAGAAACCAACATTAAATCTTAAGTTCATATAAAATTAAAAGCAAGAAATAAAACAACGCAAAAATGAAAAACAAACGACTGCAAAGCAAATTATGCGAAGG